GGGGGGGGGGCGGGGGCAGCGGCCGGGGGCGGCCCCAGCGCAACACACCTGCCACAGGGGAACCGCCGCCGCGCACAACTCCCATCGACCCATCAAAAGTGATCGGGCGCACCCGCCCGCAAGGGCCCGGCTCCCGCGACCCCCGGCCCCTGGAAAAAAAAAAAAAAAAAAGGGCGGGTAACTGCGCGCCGTCGGAGAGCGCGGATCGCATCCGGCACCATTGTGGGTATACACCTCTCAAGGCCCGCCCCGCCGGCCGGCCGCCGCCTCCCGGCCCCTCCCGAGGCGCGGCTCCCTTGCGGACACCGTCCACCTGTGTGACAGGAACCGCCCGATGGAGGGCGCCCCCCCCCCCCCCCCCTCGGTGAGACATGCTTTGAGCATCAGCAGCACTCACACCCATCCATGCCTGCCCGGTCGGGGCGGGGGGGCCAGGCAGCAGTTTCGCGGCGGTCGTGCGGCAGTGGCGACGGGGCGTGTCCGGGCCGGCGCGCGGGACCCGCCAGCCGGCTGCGGGCGCCCGGTGGATAGGCATGTGACCTGGCATGTGATGTGGGCGTGATTCTCTCGCCCGCTCCTCCGGTCCCCCGCCGCTTCCTGCTCGGAAAATGGCTGCCAGAACGGGCGAGGAGACACACACACTCGAGGGCCGCACACACACATGGACACAGTAGCAGGGCGAAGGCTGGTCGATTGGTTGGTTGGTGGGGGGGGGGTGTATTTACTTGTGCGTGTGGGTGGGTGGGTGGGTGGGTGGGGGATAGACACATCATGGAGGGAAGGGGTGAATGAAAGTGGCATGGCGTTGGAAGAAGGGGGGGGGGGGAAACGGGGACAAGGGGCAAGTAAAAACGGATTTGGATCCGCGCGCATCGAGGAAAAAAACATAGATGGACCGGAAGGAGGGAAGGGGAACGAGTATGCGGCAAGGAAACATCAAGAAGGACAAACCAGGAAGGTGGCAGAGATGGTGCGCGCAGCAGGCAGGAGGATGTGCCAGCCGGCCGGCCTCGGCGAGAGCGGCAGGAGGAAGGGGAAGATGGAGATAGATAGAAAGAGAGAAAGGAATCCGGGGAGGAGGGGGGGGGGGACACACGAAAGAATGGTGGGCGAGAGGGTCCGAGGGGGCCGGCCTGCCTCAGACCGCTGCGGCAGGGAGGACAGGAAGAAGGGGGAGGGGAGGGGGGGGGGGGGGGAACCGGCCTCCCTTCCTCCCGGGCGGGACGACCCCCCTGGTCACAGGGGAGGGGGGGAGAGGGGGGATGCGCTCCGGCCACCTCCCTCCCTCTCATCCTGGCCCGCGCCCCGGCGCGAGGACATACACCGCGCGAGGCCCCCAATCGCGGAGAGCAAGGGGGGCGAGAGGAGCGAGGGACGAGCGAGGGAGGCCCCCGGAAGAGGGAGGCAGATGCGCGGCTATTCAGGCGTCTAGGGTGTGGCCGTGCGGCGCGGGAAGAGGCCATCACCGGGAAGGGGGGAGGGAAGGAGGGGCATGGCAAGTGGCATGACACGCGCTACTTAGACGGCGGCGGCCTCGGCGGCGGCGGGAGTGGCAGCAGCAGCGGCGGCAGCGGCCTCGGCGGTGACCGGGGCGGCGGCCTCGACGGCCACGGGCTCCGCGACAGCGGCGGTCTCAGCCACGG